TATATATATATATATATATATATATTGTATATATACATATATGTATACATATACAGGTATATACATATTGGCTATTTATGGGCTTTATAATTATTTTCTTGTGTTGCGTAGATTTAAATTAAATTTCTTCCTTTTTTATTATTATGAATTTTATTTTCTTTTTTCTTTTTTATGAATTACTTTTCTCTATATTCTTTATTATTAATATATATTAATATGTAAATATATACATTATGTATATGTACACTATTCTTATATAATGCCTTTTTGGGCCCCTCGCGATGCATGCATGCAAAAGTTGCCTCTTTTCCTTTAAATAAGCGTAAACGCTTGTGCTGCAGTTACTGCAACTGCTGCAGCGTCTGCAGCTGCTGCACTTGCTGCAGTGTCTGCAGCTGCTGCATTTATACAGCAAATGAATTTATTTTATACAAGAGATAAACGAGTAATTGGGGTGTATGTACACCTCAAGGAGTTCTTCTTTCCTTTTGGTTGTCGAGAAGACAAGAAACATAAGTTTAATGCTGCAGCGCAGCAGCAACAATTAATATTGTCCTCTTGCCTACTCCTACACAGCAGCCAACTAAATGGGCTGTACGTACACCTCGTAACAGATAAAGTGGCGAGACTAAAATATTTTAATATTTAAAAGGATAGGAATAAATAAATAGATAAATAAATAAAAAGATAAAACAAACAAGTCCCTTCCCTCAGACAGAATAAAACAATCTAAATAGATGCCTGCAGCAGCAGCAGCAACTTGCTGCTCTAGCAACAACACTCTGCTGCAGCTACAGCTGTTTGTTTAATGCTACAGCAATGACTCACGTCACCACTGCTGCTGCTGCTGCTGCGATTGCGCAGCACACTGCATGCAGCCCCAATTCAATATCCGTACAAATTAAAAGTCTATGGAGCCACGGGTTATGTCTAAAGCCTGAATCATCCACAACAAAGGCAGCAGCAGCAACAACAACATAAGCAGCAGCAGCAACAGCAGCAGCAACGGCAAAACGTCAATTCTGAATGTTTCGTCTGTACAAATGCCATGGCTGTAGCTCTCAGCTCTGCATGCATATCCCGTGTAGCGTCTTCTGCATTCCTAGCGCTTCAACCAGCAGCAGCAGCAGCAGCAGTGTGGGGTGTATATGCACATATATATATCTAACCATTTTAAGACGAATATTTTGAATATCGGATTGTTTAAAATCAAATTGTCGACCATCAGAAATACACTCCGCCATTTGACATAAAAATACACCACAATCGTATCCATTCTGCTGCTGTGGAGCCCCTTCCTGCAGCAGCAACAGCAGCAGCAGCAGCAACAGTAGTAGTATTAAATACGCAAACACCTAGCAGTGTCTACTGTGTAGACATACAAACACTAAAATTATCCTATATAACTATAAGAGGGTTTAGGAAGTTGGGGTGTATGTACACCTCAAACCCTCCTCACCTCTGGCTCGCCATTTGGCTTTGCATACCATTCCCTCTCCGAATCCAATTCAGTACCTGCAGACACAAACAGTTGTTGTTGCACACATGCATGCAGCAGCAGCAGCAACAGCAGCAACAACAATAAACTCAGCAACAGTAGGCAGATGCGTGTGCAGCAACCGCAGCAGCAGCAGCAGCAGGTGTTAAAGGTTAATTGCTGCACCTTTTTTATCTTTATGCTCATCTTGTAGATATTTTCTGATTCGCCATGCTAAAGGTTTATGTTTCCCTCCTAAGGAATCATAAAAACGAATACTTTCTTTTCCTTCTCTGCATGCATACAACACAAGGAAATATAATAAATTAATAAAAAAATACCATAGACAATAAAAAAAGAATATTCTCTTCTTTATATTATAAGAAATAAAGGGAAGAAAAAAAATAATTTTATTTATATTCCTTTCTTTTTTTTATAATAAATACTCCGGGTGTCTTACCGCATATCTATAACTCCTAATGTCCAGTGTAACTGCCCAAGGTGTAAAGGAATAAAAATTAAATCTTTGTCGAATAAATCAACTTTTTGTCTTTTTGTCCATCTCTATAAAAGAAATAAATGAATAAAAAGAAGAAAAAGAAGAAAAGCAGCAAAAAATAAACATAAAATACCTTTTTATTATTATATATACACCCTGTATACACCCCGCCTTAATTACTCACGAGAAGGAAACCTATTGATCTACAGCTAATTTACGGGGAAAGCTGACGATTAAATGCATTTATTGCATTAAATTAACAATTAAATAATAATAAAAGAATAAAAATTATATTTTATTCATAAGAAATATCTAAAAAAGGAAGAAAATATCCTCTCCTCCCCTCTATACGTACCCGCACACCGTCAAAGTTGTACGAATTTTCTTCATTTCCTCCCGATCCAGAAAGTTTTGCATAAAAAAAAGTAGAGAAGAAAAAACAACGACAAACACTGCAAGAAAAAAGAGAAAGAAGAAAAAAAAAATAAATAATAAATAATAAATTCTCTTAATACAGAGAGGACAGAAACTACAGCATACAATAGAATAATTGTTGCTAATAAACAGAATTATAAATACAATATTAATAAAATAAAATAATAAATATAAAAAAAAAAGAAAAAAAGAGAAAAGAAAGAATAGATGGTACTCACTCTTCTCCATTTTCTCTTTGTTTTGTATTGCGCTCCTGTAAGAAATACAAAAGAAAGAAAAGAAGAAAAATAAATAAATAAGCAAATAAATAAATAAATAAATAAAAATATAATGCATAAATATAATAAACTACATCAAATAATATATATATGTATACATAAGCTCTTTAATACGAATTAACAGGAGTATTTCTGCTGAAGCAACAGCAGCAGCAACAGCAGCAGCAGCAGCAGCAACAGCAGCAGCAGCAACAGCAGCAGCAGCAGCAGCAACAGCAGCAGCAGCAGCACCTGCAGCATATTGAGGTAGAAGTTAATAACTTCATCATTTAGCCAATTGGATCCTTCAAGGCAACTGAGGGTTTCCCTGTTATAAACAAAGACAGGAATATTAGGGTTTAGGGTTTAGGGTTTATATATAAATAATTAATTTATATATAATAAATAAATAGATAAATAAGGAGACAGATAGATGGACAGATAGATAGATAAATAGGTATGGAGACAGATATATATAGATAAGGGCACAGATAAGGGAGGAAGAAAACAGAGAAAGAAAGGAGAAAAGGGGTAGAAAAAGAAATAAAAAGAGTAAATGAGCAGAAGGAAGGAAAGAAAGAAAAGAATAAAAGGAATAAAAGAATACAATAAAATAAATAAATAAATAAAATAAATAAATAAATAAATGAGGTGTACATACACTGTAATAGGTATATTAAATTTATCAATTAATAGACGATTCTTCTTTGATGAAGAAAGAAGAACTTTTGCCGCTTTTATCTCCTCTGCTGAATAATAAACAGAAAAATAAATAAATAAATAAATAGATAAATAAATAAATTATCTAGTTAATTATATTATAATAATAATAAATAAACAAATAAATAAACAAATTAATTAATTAATTAAATACCTGAAGAACAACGAGTAAAGGATTTCCTGCCGAAGCGCATTGGCACTAAAGGAGGAGGAGGAGGCCGAGGCTGCAACAAAACCCTAAACCCTAAACCCTAAACCCTAAACCCTAAACCCTAGTTGTGGAGTGTACGTTGGCTGTTGTTTAGTAGAGGGGGGCTTAGGGTCTATATATATAAGCTGCTGTAGGGGAAAGGGTTTAGGGTTTACGCATTGGCAATCAAGAGAGCAGCAGGGTTTGTAGTAGCTAAGGAAGAGAGAAAGAGTGCATCTAGGGTTTAGGGTTTAGGGTTTAGGGTTTGACGAACCACAACAAGACGTTTAGCGAGTGCTTCTTTTCTTCTTTCTTTCTCCTCTCGTGATAACTCTAAACTCCTCAATAATGATAACACCGTGTTCTGCAAAATAAACCCTAAACCCTAAACCCTAGACCCTAGACCCTAAACACTGAAACCCTAAACCCTAAACCCTAATTTTGCCGCCACGAACGATCCACCGCCCATAAGAAATATTTCCTAGTCCTTTAACACTAAACCCTAAACCCTAAACCCTAAACCCTAGGGCGTACCTCGTGCTGTTTGTGGGCCTTAAGCATGCGCTCCATGGCCTCCTTTTGCTGCTGCAGCAGCAGCAAAGATGCTGATTCATCTGTACATCCTCCAATCCGTGTACGAGGAGACAGAGGAGCATCTTCTTCTGTTGCTGCTGTTGCTGCTACTGCTGCAGCAGCAGCAGAAGGCAGAGGAGGAGGAGGCGGTAAGTACTCCACGCCCTTCACTGACTGCAGCAGCAACAAACAGCAAAACATAAACAATAAAAAAGCAAGGCTAAGCGACACGTCAATAGGCGCAGCTGCAGCAGCAGCTGCTGCTGCTGCTTGTGTTGCTGTTGTTGTTGCTGCTATAGCAGCAGCTATTACTAACCCCTTCTCGTCGCAGAAGGCTTCTGTATGTCTCGAGGCTGTCGTGCTGCTGCTGCTGCAGTTGCTGCTGCTGCAGTTGCTGCTGCGAGGTGTCTGTACACCATGGAGGCTCTGAATGAACCCGTCTGCTCCCCACAAACCATCCGGCTTTGCTATCATCATATCCTGCTGCTGCTGCTGCATCTGCTGCTGCTGCAGTTGCTGCTGCATCTGTTGCTGCTGTGTGCGGTGCTACAGTATCTGCTGCAGTTGCTGCTGCAGCAGTTGCATCTGCATGCTGGTCGCTGCGGTGTATAGAAGGCCTCGACAATGCAGACCGACGGCCCATTTGCGTTGAATTTTCTGCTGCTGCTGCTGCTGCTGCTGCTGCATCTGTGTCTGCTGCTGCTGCTGCTGTAGTATAATTATTTATTGCTGCATCTAAAGAAAAGGCAGAAGAGCGACGACAAGAATCTAATGAACGCATTGGATGAATACTCAATAAACAGGAAGAAGAAGAAAAGGAAGAAGAAAAGGAAGGAGAAGAAGGAGGAA